CTGGGGCCTTGAGGGCACTGGTAGTGGTCACTGTCTGCCATCAGGAAAGCCACGTCAGCTGATAGCTTTGCCTCTCACATAGCCTGATCAAGCTTGGCCGAGACGTATAATGAATCTGCTTGAACCAAAACTAAAGGAAAGAAACTCAGTGAAGTCTCCCCAGATTGAGAAAGCGGTGATCAGAAACTCCTGAAAAGTGGTATCTTGAGAGAAAGGGGAGCACTCTGGAATGCTCCTTCTAGAGGTATCCTTACCAAATTCAGTCACCCAAGGCAAACCTGCAATTACCAACAGCAATTAGACAGACACATACTGACAACATATGCAGGCATGAAGGGGCAAGACTCCTCTGAGAAACTTACTTAGGCAGCATTCAAATAGGGAGGGTCAGTCAGAATCCTACAGAAAGAGACAACCTGAAAATGGACATCACAAGAGACAAGGAACAAGGAGATATGGCCTATCCTGCCTCCAGAGAACAATTTCTGGAACACAGTCCAACTGGCATTCCCACCTGCATCCACATACTGCTCAACACATGTGGACAGCAATGATGGCCGACATGTCTTTAATAGTGGGAACCAACCTAAGACTGGAAGTTCTCCTCAGCCAGGTCACAACCATTTCTAGGTTCCAGTAGTCCTCTTAAGTGCACTGGCCAGAAACCAGGTATCAAATGAAACTGTCACCTGGACCTCAGGAGTTAGCATGCCTCAGAAAGAACACCAGACTCCTTTGGACTAGAATGAGGAAGCAGTGGGAGAGGCTGAGCACCTATACATAGGGACCAGTGGAATTTGGACCAGAAATGCACTGTGCAGCAGCTCCTTTAATCTTGCAGTTTCCCCTTGACATCCCCCACCACTGATTAATGGAGGGGCCCCATCGGCCCCACCACTTGCCCCTGATCAGCAGGGATCCGAGTTTTGTTTCCCATGGAAAAACGGAGAAAAACCGCAGATTTTACTTCTTACCAGAGGCAAATGCAGATTTCTCACTTTACTGGAGAACCCCGCAGATTTTGCAGTTTTGCGGCAAGCCCTCTGCAGGCAGGCAAAGTTCCAGCCCTCAAGGGGCTGGGAGGGAGTGGGAGGAGGGCAGTCAGGCAGAGGGTGCCATGTGTATGTATATGCACATGGCTGCCAGGCAGCCTGGAGAGAATCTCCCGCAGTTAAGTGGGGAGGAGGGCAACTGAGGCCCCCATAGGGAGGAAGGGAGTTAGGCACGGCAGGAGCTGGGGCTGGGGCTGGGGCTGCTGCCCAGCTGGGCAGTGCCTGGAGCTTGGGGCCCAGCACTGCAGTGAACAGGTGTAGGGCCCCAGCAGGGAGCAGGATGACGGCACAGATGGGAGAGCGCAGGACAAGAGCAGGGGTGGGAGGGCAGGTGGTGGGGGGGAGGGAAGTGAGGGGCACCAGCAGGGCCAGAGGGCTGTGGGTGGGAAGTGAGGCTTCAGGTTCGGGCTCCTTCCCTGCTGCCCTCCCCTGGGACCTCTACAGCCCAGCGGGTGTGACCTGGCATTGCAAAGAACAGTGGGACCATGCAGGAAAGCTGCTTGCCCCTATGAGCTCCATGCTGCCCTGATGATGCGTCTCCTGTGCGCAACCCCATGCCACTGCCCCTGCTACAGTCACACATGCAGGGGACGCATCACCAGGGCAGCGTAAAGTAAGCAGCAAGTGGCAGGGCCACCAGGGCCTCTCTGCCAATCAGCAGAGACCGCAAAAACTGTGACATATTTAAAACGGTGGTTTTTGCCTCCCCGCCAATCAGGGGCAAGTGGCAATGCTCCTCCACCAGTCAAACAGCAGGGGGGTTATGCAGGGGAAACTGCACAATTAAAGGAGCCAATTAAAGAAGTGCACTTCCAGCGCAATTTCCACTGGTTCCCACCTATCGAGCATGGTGACACTGACAGATTTCCCAGTTCCACAGCACCACATCTGGTATAGAAGTCAAATACTAAATCTGAATGCTTCCTAAGTCACCAGAAGGGAAGCCCTCACATAACCTTAAGTTTACAAAGCAACCATAAGAGAAATGTTCAGTAATTTTGTCATAATATATTAATGTAATCCTGACAAAAGACTTGAGACAAAGGTTAAAAGAAGAAACAAGCTCATGCATGGTTGACAAGGAACTACAGAAACCCACCTGTCTCAATGCACCTTGGGCAACTATTTAAGGCAAATGTTTAGTGTTAACTTCCCAGTTTTAACCCAGGTACGCTTACAGCTTGCTTGCAACAAACACTGTATTTCTAGATCCATTAGAACTAAGACTGCTGGGTTGGAGTGCAGTCTCTGTGCATCCCAGTACCTGACCATCTAAACTACCATGTTTTCTTGGATACAATGTATACCTTATCCTTCTCCCTCCCTCTGAAAACACAAAACAAAAAAAAACCCAAAACCAGAAAAACCCCAAAACACCAAGTGCTGGAAACTTCCATGCACATTATATGTAAAAAATATGGTAAAAGCAGTTTCTACTTCTTCCCAGAAAGGGAAAGTAAAAACTGTAGGAACTCACAGGGCACAACCTCACAAGGGGGAATGTGCGTTTCCCCAGGGACAAGAAACAAATACAGCAGAGCGGCTGCCACATGCACCATCCTGCTTTTTCTAGTTGTGCAGGTTTTTGACCCCAGGATCTCCCAGGGTCAAAATAAACCCCCTGCGCTGCAAAGCAGCAGTCCGGGCAACACCTGCAGTGCCGCATGCTGCACGTTTGCGCTTGTCTGGACACACCCACAGGGAGCAGAACAACCTCAGCTCCCTGGCTACTGTTACTTGGTTACTATAAGGAAAGACCTTTTTTCTTTCAAAAACAAAGTGCATTTTATTTCTGAGCATAAAGTGAGTGAGAAAATACACAATTTAGCTTGACAAAACTAGCTCTCTACAGAGCCAACAGGTGTGATTCAAACTTTTCCCTTTTGCTAGTGCAAAGGGACAGATGCCTCCTTCTCCAGTGTAGAATGAGGGTAAGCTAACACAACTTTGTCCTCTATGCATGACAAGCTGGAAAAGTAGCTTGGGAAACCTCCTGCCTGCTACACCTGGAAAGAAAAGCTGTTCCTGGCCACATGTAGAACAACAAGCCATTTTGTGGAAGTACTCCTTCTCCTGGCGACTTTCCAAAGGTTTGGCAGCACACAAAATCAGGCAGATTTATTTGCTTTCTTATTTGCAGCCTGAAAGGTACTTAAGTATACATGACTGCAACATCTCATTGTTCAGGTATATTTGTGCTGAAACAGAATAGTACTTAAGTCCTTGTAACTGGGTTCCCAAACCTAAACCCAAATTACAAAATTGGAGGCATTCAGAAGCACATTCTTGATTAAAGTAGCCTATTTTAACAGGACAAAGGAACCTGAAGCTCATCTATTAATTACCCAGAGATACTCTCACGTCTTACCTTCACTTCCTCCCAAGCATTATGAAGTTTTCTTCTCCCTACCCTCCAAATGACTAGAAATAGCACTCAAGAGAAATCAGTATATCCTAGATCATCACCATGCAGGAACAAACCTCCACCTGCTCCCCATTTTCTGAGGCAAGATGGATCCCTAAGCTCTCTGCCTCCTAAAACCCAGGTACTATAGCAGCGTATGAAGACACTTGCCAAAATCTGTTATAAGCAGCTGTTGAAATTGCTCTGTTAGAATAAAATTTAAAGAAGAAAAAAAGCATATGAAGCACGATGGCACTGCCTGGTTTTTGAAGAGCTAACTAAAAACCCCAAGCCTGTTCCGTGGTGGTACTTTCCCCCACCCCATTTTTGAGAGATCTGACTTGATATCATATGGTCAGATTCTTCTTCAAGTCAGTCACTGATGGAGGCCCAGTTCGAGGGAAGTTCTTAAGAGGCTGAGGGCATGTCTACACTGCACTAGCCATTGCAATCATTTGGAGTACAGAGGAGTGCTCTGAGATTTTAACCTGATCAGTCTGGAAGACAGGCTATGCAGAGGGAAGTCCAGCAACTTGCATCTTTCAAAGTTAGCGAAGATCAACGTGTATAGCTGGTCTAGAGTGGGAACTGAGAGCAGCAGTACCAAGATCCTTTGAAGGTCAAAAAGATGAGTCTTGGACTAAAGATCTAAGAGACTATAAACGTGATATAGTAACTTTGATTCTTCCTTTATTTGCACTTTATCAAAATACTCATTTTAATCAACATGAAACAAACCGTTGTCTTTGTGCTTGCATCTTTAAATAATCTTAAATTCTTAATACTATGCATGTAGTATATAAAATGTTTAGGGTGTTTTGGATTCACTTAATGTTATAATAGAACAGAAATACAAGGATGGATTTGAAGAGCTACAACAGATAGCTCTGGTAAGCATCAATGAAACTGCTGGAAATGTTATTACTTGAATCTGAAAAATAATTAAGCTATTACTACCTGCAATTTAACTAAATATTTTTCTTATAATTAGATTGGCTCCTGTAGAGGAAGTAGTAAGTGCTAAGTTACTTGGTATTTATTCAATTAAGAGATTTAAGTTTTCTGGAAGCTTCTCCACAGAGTTTGCATAACTTTATTTAAAATATAAAAGTCCCTGGATAGTTTATCTGTATTAGACTGATGGTCTTATTGTTAATACTAAGATAATTAAAATGAACAGCATTCATATATGAGACGACCACTAGGATATACTTTAAGTCCTCATATTGAATAGCTTTCCTGCCCAGTGTAAATTTTGTCCTCTTTGCAATTATAAATTTCAATATTATCTACTATGTGAACACTTCGTAGGATAACGCTTGTTCACGTTTTAGTTGTGAGTTTTAATGTTATTGGGATTAATGAAATTCTTCACAGGGATTAACAATTTGCATGAAATCCCTTTTGAGATTATACAAAAAAGGATGAGTTTTCATTCAGAGAATTTCCTGGAAAGCAGTTTAAAATTACTTACTGTTTTCAATGGTTGGATCATATGAATCAACAAACTGGCCTTCCACAAACTGAATAGTCAAGGAAGATTTTCCTAGAAAAAAACCAAATAAAAAAAAAATCTTCAGTTAAATGGCACAATATATACCTAGTCTATAAATTGTGGTTTTGCTTCATACTCTTACTCTTTTGACAGGCATCAAAAGCTTTGTACAAGCTCACATATATGCCGGCTATGCTTGGCAAATGGCCCTCTGCTAGAAGCATTTCAGTTACCTGTTCACGGAAAGTGGGAGAACCAGACAGTAACATTCAATGGGGATTCTGAATTTCTTTGGCAACCAAACTCCTCACTCCAGTTTACTGTTGTGTCTTTGCAACTGCTGCAGACTAACATGCATTATGATCCAGAACTCCCCAAGTCATACTTTTTCATTTAGTTATAAAGAGAAACATTAAGAAAATTATAAAATATTTACATAAATAGGGAAGGGAATAAGTATACCAGTAACGCTTATAAACTAGAAGAAAAAAATTCACTGTAATGTGTAAAGGATTGAGGTCAGGTTGCTCACTCAGGACTCAGAACTTCCATTACTTGCAGAGTACAAAATAGTGACTGAACATTATATTATTGAGCTAGACTGATTTAGCATAGCCAGACAGTTTAAGGAATAGGGTCACTGTATGAAAAATGTAAAGGTCTCTTAATACCTCTCAACTAAATAGAGTTTAACCCTCCATTTATCACAAAGGGATCAAAAAACAAATTGCTCTGAAAGCCAAGTCTGGATTCTAATGGGAACTTACATTTCAGAATCCCTGCTTGAGAACATCCTACCATTTGCACTGGGATTTATCAAAGGTTTGAAAGCCTCAGGAGTTAAACCATGAGTTCTTACAGCTGTGCCAGATTACACTTTTAGCTAGCTGCTGGAAAAGGTTTCATAGTTTCTAGGGCTGGAAGGGACCTGAGCAGATCATCTAGTCCGACCCCCTGCCATGGCAGGAAGAGCACTGGGGTCAAACAACCCCAGCAAGGTGTTCATCCAACCTCCTCTTAAAAACCCCCAGGGTGGGAGCCTGCACCACCTCACTTGGAAGCTGGTTCCAGACCCTAGCTGCCCTGACTGTGAAGTAGCGCCTGTCAAGGTGCCTGTCTAATTCAGCCATCTTGAAGTCAATGTTATAAATGGGAACTAATAAGACCTCTCAGAACAGTGAAGGACTAGGGCTGTCTACATTACAATTTACTTAAGGCTTAAGAGGGCTAAAAAAAGCTGTCACAAGTTAGCTCCGGTTGCATCACCACAGCAATTTTTATGCCATTGTGCTTATATGCTTCCTTATCACTGGGGATTCTGTTTTCTCTGATCAAAAAAAAATCCCCACTTTTTTTTTTTTTTTTTTTTTTAAACTAA